TTTTTCGAAAACAAAGCTGGCCCAAAAGACAATGAATCAAAGTAGAAAGCATTTCATCAGAAGTAACCAAAAGGAGTGGCAAAAATCATCTATATCTACGCACAGAGCACAGAGCACACAGCACAGAGCATCGACGGCTGTCAAGACAAGTTAAAGATCAAAATCGAGAAAACAAGATCAATGGAGCACACGACGAGCTCTTGGCTCTGCTTAGGCTAGACAGACAGTTGCAGTTGCAGATGATTGACGGAATTAGAATAATCGTATGAAATCGTGCGGGTACCGAGGAAAAATTATGATAACGTTGATTATTATTATTAAATGACCCAGTTAAGGCCCATTTAGGCCGGGCAAGTGAAAAGTGAAGGCGTTCCACACACACACACACATACACAGACAGTGAGCGAGAAGAATGTCACAACAGCAGCGACTGCAGTTGATGTCGCTCAGACTTTGGCAAATGCAAATTTCAACTGCCTTGCAACTTTCTAAATGAAATTCCAATCGCATGCCGTCTCGCTTGCCAGCTAGCATGCCGTCTCGCTCGCACGCTGCATGTGTGCACAAAATTAAAGAAATAATTTCAAGCGAAAATATACAAATTGATTGTCACCTGGCAGGCGAGCGACTTAAACCTTACCTTACCTTGTCTTTTTTTTTTTGCCAGCGCCTTGCTCTAAATCAAAGCACCTTTCTCCATTTATCGGCCCAGACACACTTAGCCATGGCTAATACAAATAAATTTTAGCCCAGTACTAGCGCTTGGGCGCACACGTGTCAACGACACCCAAGCAACATCGTTGAGGGGGCGAGTGGCTGAGCTGAGGGGTGAGTGGGGGGAGGGTGGAAGCTGAGGACGAGGTCAGCCATTGGGCTCAATTAGAGCGACGCGTCCGCCAAATTGCTCGAGCACTTTTATTGTCGCCAGTTGGCGGCGTCTCTCGAGGATATATATATATGTATGTATGTATATATATTTCTGTGACTTGGCATTTTGTCGCGACGCCTTCAGTGTCTCGCAGGTCGCCAGCTGTCCAGGGTCTGCCTCTGTGCATGTATGCGTGCACCTTCCGCTCTTTGTTTCTCCTCCAATCAGTCACTCAATTGTGATCGTTCGCGTAATTGCCTTTGACAAGCTACGCAGCCAGCGATTCACCATTTGCAACGGCGAACTGCAACTGCAACTTCTTGTTGGCATTTTGTTTGACTTGGATTAAGTTTAAGTGCATGGCTTAAGATTCTCAGCATTGTTGACTAAACGTTCGTTCGCTCGCTCGATCGTTCGATCGCTGCACTCATCTGTATAGCCAGCCAACCTCTATTATCATGTTAACCAGTCGCAACTATGGAGTCTCGGCAATCAATGTCAGCTGCTCCTCACAATATGAGTGTTATAAATTGCCAGCTCTATATTAAATGCTAGACCAAGCTAGTATAAAACAAACCACAATATATTTTTAAGACAAAGGCAAAAGTTGCAAAAGCCTAGTTCTTCAGTTAGGCTTCATTTTAGATTAATTCTTATCCCTAAAAATTAATAAATATTTTTATGCGCATTCATGTACCGATACTTGACTTGTAGCATATATTATTTAATATTTTACCCATTTAAATTAAAATGTTGTAGACAAATTAAAAAAAAAAAAAAAAAAAATGTGAATAAGCTTAATTCGAAAATAAAAAAGAAATACAATATTAACATTTCTATACTCCTCTCTAAGAATTTATTAAAAATTATATGTCCACGCCCACTTATAGTATGGCCAATTGGGTAAGCCTACATATAGTTTATATAGAGCTGCTGATGCTCAATCAGAGTATATCAGCTGTATTGGCTATCACTCATGTCTATTTCATTCACACTTTAACAACTTTCACTACACCAATATACCCTTACACATATGTAATAGCTCCTAACACACGACAAAATATAATATATAACCTACACGATTTTTGTAAATCATTTAAGCACTTAAATAGGGCCCAAGTCGATGCCTTTATTAGCTCAAATATTGCGCCTTTAAAGTGATTTATACAAATTTCGAAGTTTTTTTTTGGTTCAGACTAACAAATGTTTTATTTATTACTATTTTTTCTTTGTCGCTGAGATTCGGGCACCCGGGTCTATGACAACTTTTACTCATTTGACAACAATTTCACTGGCGTTGCATGTCGATCACGGAGACACTTGCAAAGTGGACAAATGCCGACATGGTTCATTCCAATGGATTATACCACACATATAGCCACAGTCCACCCTCTCCACCTTTTAGAGGAGGCACTCGACATCCAATGGATCGCCGTCTAACTGGTATTTGGCAATTTGAGCATGCAAAAATGATTTTATTGTTGTACGAAAGTCAATGCAACAAAAAGACACTGGGAAAACTCAGCAACTGCAACTGCAGTCAGTACGTCATGTCCGTGTCAAAAAGCTGGCCGCGGGCGATCTCGCGGCCAAATATTAGCACACAATTCGATTTTGCATGCCATGGCAGGTAGTAAAGTTTTACGAGTGCAAGTGGTGCTGATGGTGGTGCTGTTGGTGGTGGTGGTGGTTGGTGGCTGCTGTGCTTCATGACTCTCGATTTGGTGTCGGGGCCAGCATCTCCTGGCTTTTATCCACATCCACAGCCATATCCATGGCCATGACCATAGCCAGCTGCGCTTTTCGCTTTCACCTGTTGGCCGCAGTTATGTAAAATCTACTGTCAAATTAATGGTGATTTATATGTGGACCATAATGTGAGCTTAATGTACAGAGGTATATATGCATTTGAGCATGCAAATAGTGGCATATATGAGTATTACAGTTCCTGTCCAAGATAGTCAGAAATGACGAAAATATCTAACCACTTTTCGGGCTTTTTAGTAAATCTGCCGACTAAAGAACTGAGAAAAAAAGCCATTAAAATGGAAAATCATTTTTCTTTATATTACATTTATGTATAGACTATGAATCATTCAATATTATATTATCATTCCATCGGCTCACACGTTACGATCTATGAATCTAGGAATTCTCCTGATTTTTTGAACAGAATCAGATGGAAGGCCAATATATGATCATTGATTATAATTGATTTTTATTTTTTTAATATCTCCATTTGGGGATTTGCTTGCTTGCTAATAACTTTAAATATCGGGAAGTCGGAATATTAAAGGGTCACTTAATTTTCTCCAGATCTTCCCTAACATCTTGATTTGTTGCCTTGTTAATATCTATAACTAGTTATCTGACTGAATTGAAAGTGTCCTCACTTTTCATCCCTTTCTGACTATTTAGCAAAAAAGATAACTTAAAGATATTTATCAGTTGTAAGTAGGTCATTCTTTATTTTTATTTGTTATAAACTTTAAAACCGAAACTGTGTGAACACTGGAAAAATTCTTGTACAGAATAAGACAAAGATGAAAATGTAAACTTTGGTCAGCTATTGATCCCACTCAAAAATTGATGGGGAAAAAGTTTAGCTTGAACACAGTTTTTGTTTTAGGGTAACCCAGACCGTTCAATCGTCTCGCTCCCTCGCTCTTTCGATCGATTTGGTCTAGGGTAAGACTTTCAACTAAAAGCATTTCTATACGCTTACAACATGACGGGCAATTTGTCGATGTTGTTGCAGCTGTTGTTGTTGTTGCTTTGATTGTTGTGGGTTTTTGAAAATTTGTATATATGTGTAAAGGTTTTTTTTTTTTTTTTTAATAACCATTAAAAAGTCACTTCACTTTCACTACCAATACGCATTCCTAGAATTCCGATCGCAGCTGGGTGCCGCCAATAGTGAAGCAACTGCTTCTTGATCTCGCTTTAGATCCTTAGGTTCGGTCTTATAATAAGCATTGCAGCTATTGGTTTTATAATTATGCAATTTGTATTGATTGAGTAAAAATGATGTCTCCGACTTGTTGACAACCAAGACATTGATCCAATGATGATTTGCCCTAAATTGATGATTGGTGGTATACTTGTTTCTCTTCTCAGTTTGTTCGGGGGACTTTCGAATCGAACTATCAGATATAGCATAGCTTAGCCGTCGTCTCGAGGGTTTCGGCCATTCATTATCGATCGCTTTGGAAGTATCATTTAGCTGATTGGTGTTACGGACACGGGACTCGGCGTCCTTTTCATTATTTAGCCGTTGCACCGAGCACAGCAAATCGACAAGACTTTGCAAATTACTTGAATCGGTGTCCGCCGAGCTGCTAGCTTCTTCAACTGGGCCATCTGAATAAAGTGTATCTAGTGAGTCCGATGCCATCAGATTCACCTGTTCGCTATCTTCTCCTGAATCGCTTTCGCTACTATAGCGAACATCGGTTGAACTCGATGTATGTGGCTCGTGTTGCTTGGAGTTCAAGTTTAGATGTAGACTCTCCGCCTTCCACTTCTTAGTGCTGTGGGCTAAACTTGTGCTCGCAAAGCTATCATCCTCAGAGGTATATAAACGGGCGCCAGGCGGCGTCTGATATTCCAAACCCTCGTTCCTCAGCATATCTTGAATCAATTCCACTGTCAATGGTATAAGACGTTGATTCTTGTTGCGTAGTTGTTCACTTGGTAGCATAACACTAAAATTTTGATATAATGAAAAAAATTTGGGGATAAACTAATTCCGAAAAATCTAGACATGTGTACAAAAGTCTGTTTTTGTAGAATGTACAACTTGAACGGCAAAGCATATAATGAAGCATTTGAAGTATACGACATGGGATATGTGTTTCGGTTTTTTTCTTTTTTTTTTTTTTTTCTATCTAAGGATGTGACAATAGGATGGGAACCTGTGCAAATAATATGTTAAATTAAGTTAAGTTAAATTTGTATACTATTATAATATAGTATAATAAATAAAATAATATTAATATTATTGTAAAATATTTGGAATCTAAGCAAATGGTATTCACGATTTTTTATTTGCTTTGGAAACACTTTCAACAACATTTTGTTCAATTATTTAATTAGCTTTCGTTTCAAGTAGTTTGCTGTTTTTTTATTAAATTGTTCCATCATGATTGTCTATATGAAGAAGTTTTTATTTTGCATCCCCCTGCGGGTGGGCAACATTTTCATTGGTTACTTTTGCCTCGTGCGCGGCTTTTGCAATGTTTATTTGGTAATTTATCTGTTCCCAATGCTCTGTAAGCGCATGGTCTGGGTATGGTTTCTGCAATCGCAGGTTAATTGCATTGCTGGCGTTCTGCTGCTCGCTGTCACCTTCCAGGTGAGTGTTCAATCGCAATAGAGATTCAAAGTATATAAGTATATATTTGCCTCAGCCTCATCTGCTGAACTATATGCTGCCCATACAAATCGTTGTTAAATTATCAAGTACAATTATCGAATTGTCATTCTACCTATTGATGAGTAGTTCTGGTCTGTCATCTCCACTGTTAGTCGGATACTCTGCGGCCTCAATTATAAGTAAGTCGAAGGAAATTTTGATTGATTGATGCTCAAATTTGCATTCATTCATTTATTCATTTACAGTTAATCTATATTTTGTGATTGTTATTTTCTCCTTCTATCACGAGACGGATCGTAAATAAGACTGTGAAGCTATACCGCTCTGCTGACTGTCAGGGTTTTCTCTTATCACGACTAGCAGAGAAAGAAGAAGAAAAAACGGTAGTTCATGCGGTCAACGTCAGCGCAGACATAATCACAGCGTGTAGCATTTTGTGCCATGATTAAACGCAAATTTATTAGGCAAATGTTGCGCAATTGCTGGAAACTCTAAAAACTTCAAGTCGCGAGCATAAATCGTGCGGGGCCAATTGTCACCAGGCTCCGATGCGGACTACCAAACTGCAAACTGCAGCTAGAGGCTTCAACTTGCGGCGACTATTGGCTTAATTATCGTCGCACCGTTGCGCTACATGCGTGCTAATTGAGTGCGGCCAGCCAACTGACCAACTGACCAACTGAGTTGGAGTTGGAGCTGGAGCTGGAGCTGGAGCTGGACATGGCGTCGATGTCCACGTCCTGCTATGATAACAACAACGCGACGACAAACGCACGCTGTGCCCCAAAATGAAAATTATGTTGCAATCCTCTCTCGATGCCCAATGCTCAAGTGTCTGGTGGCCAGAGCCCCACACACACACACTGCTGCGCTGGCTCACTGGCTCACTGGCTCACTGATCGGTGGGGGCCTTAATTAATTTCGTTGATTAATTGAAAGTGCGCCTTGACTTGGTTGCTTTATTTTTATTTATTTATATTTTTTCTCTTTTTTTTTTTTCCTGCTTGCAGCCTCTTATCTGCCTGGGCTGTTGGCAGTGCAAAGTTGAAGGCAAGTATGAAAAATGTTGCAACAAAAAAACTGAAACCAAAACAGACATATTCGGGCTTGTTGCTGGTCTGTTTCGGTAGTATGTTGAGGGCGTTGCCGTGGCTGCAGCCCTTTGGCCCATTACTCTTAGCCCGGCCGAATCGATTATGGCAAAAATTATGTCTGACCGCAGGGTAAGGGCCGCAGCAGCAACTTTAGTTACAATCACAATTACAATTCGATAATGTTCAATAAATTTGCTGTTGGCTTTAAGCTTTACTTACAGTTACCTAATTGATTTTATATACATGCATGTGCATAAACATATATAACTGCATGCTTAAACTGGGCGAAATGCTTACATTCTGTTTGTTTATAGCTGCAGATAATTATACATATGTGTGTGTGCGTGTGTGTGTGGCAAACATAAATTTAGTTTGTAAAAGAATAATCTTGCTCTTTCTTTTTTGGCTTTTCGCAAGTGCAGCATGGAACAGTGCTGTCCGCAGTAAAATTCGCTTTAAGCTGAAAAGCCTAAAGACCTAAGGACCACTTATATTTTCAGGCTACAACCTACAGACAATTAGCATTAAAAATGTTGATAAAATGTAAATGATCAATTCATCCGTAAAAATTTATGTTTATATATATATAAATTTTGTATGTAGCTTTATAATAATATTGCCCGATTTATAAGCTTTATTAATTAGATTTGCTACGGATTTTATGTTATTTTTTTGCTCACTCAAGTATTTAAAAAATTTGCTCTTAATATTCATCGCCTGCGGCTTTGCTATAATTTTTATTTATGTTAATTTATTTATTTATTTCTTGTGTACAAGAGCATGAGTATTACATTTCACAAATTGTCTCCAAAACTAAAGCTTAAACAAATTTCAATACTTTTAGGCCACGTTTCAGCGCTGGGATTAATAAGCCAAATTTTAGGCAAAGGCTGCAACTCACGCGAGTTGAATTATTTGTCAAAATGGCTCAAGGAAATGGCTCATGCTGATTGTTGTTATGGTTTACGTGACATTTGCAATCAGAGCAAATGCACGAGCCACGCACCGCTGCACTGCTGTGTGGCAAGTGAATGGTGCAGGTAGCGACAGGTTGCCCCCACCCGGATGACAACTGTAACTGCAACGGCAATCCCGATCGCAACTTCAACTGCAACTGCAACTGCAACTGTATTTGCAGCTTCAATTCCAATTGCAAACAGCTATGCAACGTAGGTGGCACTTGGACACATTTTTGAAATGCGCGCCCGTTGGCCAATTGTGAAACTTGGCCAATTGACTAACTGGCCAAGTGTCAAACTTGCCAAATTGAAAACGAAGTTACGATGCGGCTGCCGATTTGTTTATGCACCCTGCACAAGCTCAACTGATTGCATACATTCAGATACACTAAGATTGGGTATTTACATACTCGGCTATGATATGCGATTTGACTCTTTTTACAAATTTCCATAGGATATGGGAATCGAATGATAAAATCCATAGAATATGGGAATCTATAAGATAAATGTGTATATAATTTTATTAACATGTAAGCTTGACTACATGGAAGTTGATTAAGTGAGAGAAAATTTTCTTATCAATATATAAAGATTATTTATTTAAGTCATGAATCGTATTAAAAGTAAATATAATTGTATTTGAATATGCATTCACATTATACAAAGAATATTTTCGCTACATCATAAGTCTATTGTGTCCAAATATTTTATATTAAATTACTAAAAATCATAATTTTGCTATGTAATAAAAATAAATA